GTTTGTTGAACATAACCAAAAAAGCATAATTAACTTGGCTGAAATCCTTTCGTGATTGTACTATATACAAATATTTGCTAGGAAACAAAGAGATACAAATATTTACTATATAAAAATATTTTACAAAAAAAAAAGTAAATGAAATCCACACAGACACTACATTATAGGGTGAATTCACTTAAATTATATACACAATTTAATATAAGGTGTCCCCAAAATGTGCCCCCAAAAATGTGTCTTGAAGTTTCAGCTCAAAATACCCCACAGATCATTTATTATACCATTTTAAAAATGCCCATTTTGTATTGCTCTCTGAACATTGTCTTATGATAAGTGAATGGAGAATTGTATCCGTGATTCTGCAATAATTTTTTATCATGTACCATCAAAATATATGCAGTAGAGGGATGATAATAATAATAATAATAATAATAATAATAATAATGTGTAATAATAATAATAATAATAATAATAATAAGCGTATTAAAAAAATCAGTTTAAAATTCTGATATATGGGCGCACACATCCAAAGCACGTGCACAAGGTGGCTGTCACAAGGCATGTGAGTACTAAACTAAGTTCTATTTCATGTCTTATTGTGCTTAAAATGTCAAATACACACACGGTTATGTCAAAAACACAACATTTTATTAATTTATTTATTAACAGTTATGTCTGTGAATGTAAACAGGTGGGAAAGAAATTGCATATTTATATTAGATCTGTTTATTAAGAGCAGGGCCGTAGCTGGGCTTTTTATGCAGTGATTAAAAGCAATCTGAAGCGGACTGTATTTTGAGATGTTTAAGAGCTGAAGACTGCCCCAACAAACATAAAATAACACCAGAAATTGCATAATTTTTCTTTTATTAGCTGAAAGCAAAGGCACGCTACATTCACGCGGAGGCTTCAGTCTGTTGTGGAAAAGCAGAGGCTGACAACGAGCGAAAACGGGCAGAAATATTTGTGTGCTATCAGTGTGCGAATTAATGGAGGTTAATACATATCTACATGAATATGTGCCCCACTTCTAGAAAACCTTGCTTATTCAATAACGTGCATTTACTGCATGGACGGGGCAAGAACAAAGTATAAGCGTTTAAAATGCATGTATAAAGTTCAGTTGAAAGCTTACCCATTTTGACTGGCTGTTGAATGTAAGAAACAAACTGCCTGCTTAAATGACCACAATGTTAGAAACAACAACACCAAAATAAGAGCTTGTGCGATGAAAGTTGCGTTCGTTACTACATAGAAACAGTCGGCTCACGAAGCGTTTTCTTTCAGAATTTTCATAGGATAAAAGTAAAAACGGTTGCAATATAAGACCTTTAAAATGTACATTTTCTGGTCTGCCTCAGCTCCAGCCATCTCAACAGCGCTCAACAATGTCAAAATGATTGAGATGACCAATCAAATCAACGAAGGCAGGCCTTACTGTTCACAGAAACTGTGAATTTCACCGCGGCACTTCAGTGATGGTACGAAGTAGCTAAACGTGTAATAGCTATTTTACAATTGTTTTACAATGACATAAACGACCAACAATATCCAGTGAATTGAACTGAATGTAGGCCTGTCATTTGTGATTCATGTAATTCATAGCCATGGTCTAAGTTAATTGAATGTGACGAAAATAGCATTTTTTCTGTTTTGCGTTTTCAACATATTAGGAATACAAATAAAATTGAATGGTGCATATTTTAAAATAATAATATTATTTGCAGTTCAGATTGATTACTTTGCAAAAAAAATATTATTCTTGTTATTTTGCTGTTCTTTTTTTCTTCTTTTAATTTATTCCCCTAAATCAATTTAAATCCTATATTTATTTAGTTCCTTTAAATAAATACCAGTACCATAGAGGTCTGGGCCAGTATTCACAAAACATTTTACCTTACCACTAAGAGTTCTCCTAAATAGTTTTTAGCTAAGAGTTTTCTCTCAAAACCTATTCACAAAGCTGTTGAGACAAACTTTTACTAAGGAATAGACAGAAGTCTTAAAGGGGTCATATGATGTTGCTAAAAAGAACATTATTTGGTGTATTTGGTGTAATGAAATGTGTTTATGCGGTTTAAGGTTCAAAAAACACATTATTTTCCACATACTGTACATTATTGTTTCTCCTCTATGCCCCGCCTTTCTGAAACGCG